AATTGAGCCGTGTCCAACTGGGTGCCACCCATTCCAACAATGTTAAGATGTCCGCTTTTTGTTATATTGCAACGAAACGTTCCAGCAATATTGCAATGTAATTATATATTTGGATAAATTTTTTACGAAGACTGAAATGAAAACTATTTTCTGTACACTGTATCTTACTAATTTTAATTTTATGGTAATATGTGCCTTCCAAAAGCAATTTTTTATGATAATCTATAAAATATTCTAATAAATGTAGTATTAATTCTGAAGGATAAATTTATTCGTAAGGATAAAGCATGTATATGTGTGCCCTGAGAAAACTACAAATATTATCCATATTAACATAATAATACAATTGCTTAGTAAGTTAATCATGGATTAAGTTAATCGCAGTGATTCTTTTTAATTCGAAACCACTTCGAGTCAACTGAAATCGATTAAAAAATGACGGTATGAAATTTATCAATAAAGTTCGGGCGCTGGTTTATTCTTGTGTTCACATCAAGCATAAACATCATCGATCACATAATATTTCAATAAATCGTTTTCAGCAGCTTAATTGCTTATCGTCTTATCCTATAATGATGCATTGATTGTATCCAAACTCGATATTATACAATCTTTTGATTTCATATTCAAAATAAATATAAAACTTAACTAATGAAATGGCCGTCAAATAATAGATCAATAAATTTTTTATTTAAATATAAAATGGATTATATAATATTAATTATTATATCATAAAAAAATGGCTGTTAAACTAAAAGACTGTACTACATAAATATTGTAAAAACTTACATTTTTATATTATTATTATTGTAACAATGAAAGAATTACAGTTTTGCAATGTTTGTGGAATATTACAGGCATATTACTGACATTTTGCAGGCAAATTGTTAATTTACATTTCTGTAATATTTCTGCAATGTTACATTGCAATCTGCAATATTGCAACATTGCAGCAATATTGCGTCAATCTTCTGTGCTGTATGGGATATAAATTCGAATTTTGTAATCTTGAAAATAAATAATTAATCGTTAATAAATAAATCGTAAATGTAACCTGAACTGTCATTTGAATAAATGATGCGCGAATAAGATGCGCCTTTCAAGCATTTATTAAAAAAAATGTTGAATGCAAGTGAACCTAAGCAAGTTCAATAGACAGTTTAGTTAAAGAATTTATAGTAGCGCGGTGTGGTAGCGTGCTTGATT